GCTGGTCTCAAACTCACAGAGATCCACCTGCCTCTGCCTCCTGAGTGCTGGGATTAAGGTGTGTGCCACCACTGCCCAGCTATGAAGGGCAAATCTGAACACAGCAAAAACATATGTGAGAGACTATGTCGTGTTCCACATACTGAACTCCAAACCTAAAAACCTCAGAATGAAGACAGGATCTTTAAAGAAGTAATTTCAATTAAATTAATGTCAGTATTGGAATAAACATATATACAAATATTCATAGAACAACAGAGAGAAGACGGTTGTCTGTAAGGCAAAAGACAACCCTCAGAAATCAGCCTCAGACAAGAAAGCTGGGCAGGTAAAAGCCCTGAAGCTTGACTATCTGAGTTCAGTCCACAGAACCCATTGGGGAACAGACAGAGGACTCAAGAAAGCTGACCTCTGGCCACACTGCCACAAGTGCACACACAACTAACGAGCAAAGAGACACAAGCCAACGTTGCCAACACCTTCACCCCAGACTTACAACAGTGAGAGAAACCAACTTCTACTGTCTAATCCATCCAGCCTCCACTTTTTCACGGATGCCCTAACAAATTCACACAGGATTCAAATAGCAAAGGACACGCTTGACCAAATTCCACCCAAGTAAAAACACTTCTCTTAAATTTGTTTCAAAGGGCCGAACTTTGGGGAAGGGTGCCTCCTGATTATCACTATTATAAAGCTATTATTTATGTAAGCACATATAATTCTTGGTAAATTTTTAATAATTTAAATACTTAGTACCTACCATGTGCATGTTAAGCTGAGTCCAAATTATTTGTAAATGATTGTATAAATGATCTATCCAACCAACATATTTGAACACTTACAGGTGCCACATAAGTCAAAGCAATGAAGTAATTAACCTTCATGCTACAGAAGAAAGTAAGCTGCAAAGTCGACAATGACTGATGAATGTAGTCAGCACTCCTTTAGCCTGAAATTATCTAGCTCTTGGGCTTTCTTCACCAAAACAGCATCAGAGTTATCTCTGCATCTAAGCTGGGTCTTTTTATTCTGTGTGCATACCTTTCATTTGCCTTACAGTGCTTCAGGATATTATAACTACTGTTTTTTTTCACACCTGTCTCTCCCTCTTGGGGAAAGGGGAGTGGGCGGACGAACACAATGTCAGTTTTGTTCACCAACGAATTCCCAGAACCTAGCCTACACAGGCACTCCTAGAAACTCTGCTGAAGCAACTCATCTTTATATGCCAACTGTTGTGCAAACAGTATCACGAATAACTCTCTCAGCTACGTTATGTGGTAAACTGCAATGTCCTTTAAAAAAATCAACATGGATATGGTTTAGAAAGATCCCAGAGCTTAGACGGCACCTCAGACATTGAAATCTAAGTCAACCCAGTGTCAAACCCACCTTTTAACCCCTTCCTCTTCATAGCTAACCTCGTCAGGGAGTTCACTGTTTAAACACATTCTTTAGGAAACCCGTTAGGTGTGCATTTCAGTTTATGAGAAGTGAAATGAAAACGTTAAGGTGACATGCATTCCGACTTGTAAAACTCCACACAAGCGTTAAGTAAAATTGGTGGTGAGCGAGAGAAAATTAACTGTCCTAATAATAAGGCCTAAAGACAACGCATTAATTAGTGTTTTACCTCCCCTGTGCAAGTTAATGGGGCTTTATTCACATGGATCACAGACACTGAGCTGGGGCCTGGGCTCTTGTCTCAGTGACAGACTCCAAGAGGGGGACTCTGGTGGTGCAAAGCCACCTGAAAGGTCAGATGTCACACAGACGTGGGGTCAGGGGTCAGCGGCCAAGCCCGGCGGCCTCAGGGGCCCTGGGTGGCGGAGAGGCGAGGACACACCCCCATCGCGCCCCCACAGCAAGTCAGAGTCGGGGGGTGGAGGGCAGTCGGCCACAGGCCGGACCCTACGGGGCTGTGGCGTCCCCTTCCTCGGCCCCGAGCGAAGACCAGCACGACGGCACTCGGGAAAGGCGGAGACCGGGTCCCACATGCCCAGCCGTCCCGCCCGCGGCCTGGTCGCGCCTCACCTGAGGACGCCGAGCGACAACGCCACGGCCTCGTCGCCCACCCGGGCCGCCTCAGCAGCGGGTTGCTCCCGGACCTGCCGGCTACCTCTTCCGGGAGACGTGGAAGGGCGGCGAGGACCTCAAAACAGAGTGGCCGCCCAGCTGCCTGAGTGGCGGGGAGCAGAGCGCCGCCGGCCGCCTAGCAAACCACTCAGGCGGCAGCGCCGGCGTCCGCGGGGCCCTAGCGCCTGGCCACGCCCCGCTTCCGTAGGTGGCGGAACCCGGCGCCGCGCCAGCGTACGTGTGACGTAACCACCGCCTGCACGCGGCTGGGACAACATTGCGGGCCACTCCCACGCAGGGGGCGTGGTCTGCCAACGGCCACGTGGTGGTGGGCGGGTCCGGTCTGAGGTGGGCGGGGCGTGACCGTCTGATCGAGCGCGTCCAGGTCTCTAAACTCCTCCTCCCTCTGGAATCCAAAAGTTTTATAGATGAGGATTCTGAAGTAAGAGGATGGGAGTACGGAAAACATGAGCCCTGGGTCTGTGGGATGGTTCAGTATACAAATAGCCACGCCTGACGGCCTGAGTTCCATCCATAGTGTGGAACGAGATTTGCGCGCGTGTATTTGCGCGTGCGCGTACACACACACACGTACACACACACACACATACACACACACACACACACACACACACAAAATATAATTTAAACCGGGCGTTGGTGGAGCACGCCTTTAATACTAGCACTCGGGAGGCAGAGGGAGGTGAATCTCTGTGAGTTCGAAACCAGTCTGGTCTACAAAAGCTAGTTCCAGGACAGCCTCCAAAGCCACAGAGAAACCCTGCCTCGGGAGAAAAAAAAAGTATATATAAATACACATAATTTAAAAAGTAAACCTTATCGCTGATTTCTTGGAGCTTGCTTTCAAGTGACAGAGGCAGATATTACCTAAGCCAATGAATGAACAATAATTTCAGAGCATTACCAAGGTCATAAATCAAGAAATAGCGGAGAAGTTGTAGGGAAAAGGGACCAGTCAAAGAAACACACCCTGAGCAGAGCCAAAGAAACACACTTTGGCCCTGCAACCAGAACCAAAGAAATGTACCCTGACCCTAAAACCAGTGCCAAAGGAACACACTTTGTCCCTGGAATCAGAGTCAGTGAAAGAAATGTACCCTGGCCCTAAAATTGGAGGCAAAAGGCTAAAAAGGACCAGAGAAAGAAACACACTTTGGCCCTGAAACCAGAGCCAAATCTGACCCTAATCCTGTGTAAAAAAGTAACCAATCCCAGAGCAGAGCTCTAGCCAATCTGAGCTCAGCACTGAAATCGGACCAATCCCTACCCTGGAAAAACTTCCCCAACCCCAGGAACCCCTATATAAACCCTGTGTATGTTCAGCTTGGCTGGTCCAGCTGTCTTCCAATAAACACCTTTGGATGAGCTTCGGGTGAAGATCTTCTTTTGCGGCTGCGACAGAGCAAAGGCGACCCTGGGCAGAGCAGAGCAGAGCAGAGCGGAGCGAGCAGCACTGTAACACTTGCCCGGGAAACCTTCCTTGGCAGAGCGGAGTTGTTACACTCTGCTCCCGCCCTGCTCCCTGCTCTCCGCTCTCCGCTCTCCAGGAGCAGAGCTGAACTGTAGCAACTTCGCCCGAGAAACCTCCTGCGGAGCAAAACTGCTACACTAGGCGAACATCCCCAGCTGGAAGACCCTGTCCTGCCGGAGCGGAGCTGACACACCGGAGAAGCCTTTCTCTGAGGCAAGGCTGTAAGCTGCCAAACTTACTGCAACCTGTGGTGGTCCTTGGCTCCCGAGCTCCAGGATACCTTTCTACCTGAGCTGTGTAACACTCAGTATCCTTGGCTCCCGAGCTCCAGGATACCTTTCCACCTGAGCTGTGTAACACTGGGTATTCTGTGACTCCCGAGTGCCAGAATACCTGACCCACTCCTGTTCCATCCTGTCCTGACCCATCCCGACGAAACGCTTACAGAAGTGACCAGAAGCAGGAAAATAAATCAGGCTGTCACAGTCCCTTGAAGAAGCGATAACTTAAACTGAGACTTAAAGGACAGAGTAAAGGGCTTTCCATGCAATAGTACTACAGTTATGTTCTGCATATAGTTCTCAGACTCTGAAATCGTTGTTCAGTAATAAAATCTGTGCAATAATTCACTAAAGACTGTATCTACTGGGTGAACAGGACAAGGCTAATTTGGCCCTAATGAAAAGCCTACAATATGTTCTCAAATGTGTGCATTTGGGCATTGAGGAAACTAAGACTCAGGGATGTTAAATCTGTCCAAGATTGTCATCCTAAGAAGTATCCAATTCACTCCAATTCTGTGCTCCTAGATTCCACATTAAGTATTGGGAATAACTGCAAGCCACTTTCTTCCTGTCAAGACGGTTTAGTCCAGTCCAAGTGAAGAGCAGCAGAAGCTGATACTTGCTGTCTCTACAATTTTAGAGCCCTTATTAAATGGAGACAAGTTTTCAGGATCCTTGAGCTGCTTATTCTATTTTCACAGCACATTAAGGAAGGGACTGTTCTTTCTGTGTGGTAGGTGGCACTGCAGCTCCCAGCTAGTGAGCGGCTCTTCCTGCTAAGGGTCATTTATCATCATTGGTTGCCGGGTGACTACAACACCCACTGATTTGATCGTATGACCCATCTTTTGTTGATGGAATGTATACTTGCCTGTCTTATGCCCCACCTAAACCTAAACTGGAGGAGTCAGTGATGTATCTCCTCCAGTTTTTTTTTTCCTTGAGTGAGAGAGAGCTCACGTCCCAGCTGGGGCTGTTCTGTCAGCCTGAATCCTGAAAGGAAAAATGAGGCATTAACTACCTAATGAAACCTGATACATTACACTATTTACAGATGAAGGCACTAAATGCAATAAGATGCAGTTACTTGGCCATGCTTCTTACTTTTCTATTACTGCGAAGAGACACCATGACAAAGACGCTTCTACATTAAAACATTTACTTTGGGGACTCACAGTTCCACAGGGTCAGAGGTCATGACCATCATAGCATGGAGCATGGAGGCAGGCAGACAGGCATGGCGCTGGTCCAGAATCAGAACTTACGTCCTGATCTGAAAGTCGGAGGCAGAGGACAGAGAGAGAGAGAGAGAGAGAGAGAGAGAGAGAGAGAGAGAGAGAGAGAGAGAGAGAGAGAGAGAGAGAACAAACTTATTCAGAATGGACTTTTGAAACCTACAAACTTACCCCCGGTGACTCACCTCTAACAAAGCTACACCTCCTAACCCTTCTCAGAGTTTCCCCAGATAAGTACCAAGCATCCAGAAACCCATGATTCATGATCCTATGGGGCTCATTCTCATTCACACTCACCGCGTCATGCTGCAGTTGAGATTTACATCTAGGTTAGTGTGACCCCAGAAGTGGTTAAAGCACTTAACTACTGAAAGGTAAAAATGAAAAAGGTTGGGACAGAGCCAAGTCCTCCTCGGCACAAATATTGGCAGTGGCCAGGTGATTGCAGTGCACGTGTTTAACCCAAGCCCTTGGGAGGCAGAGGCAGGCGGATCTCTATGAGTTCCAGGTCAGCCTTTTTTTTTTTTTTTTTTTTTTTTTTTTTTTTGGTTTTTCGAGACAGGGTTTCTCTGTGGCTTTGGAGGCTGTCCTGGAACTCGCTCTGTAAACCAGGCTGGCCTCGAACTCACAGAGATCCGCCTGCCTCTGCCTCCCGAGTGCTGGGATTAAAGGTGTGTGCCACCAACACCCCGCCAGGTCAGCCTTATGTGCAGAGTGAGTTCTAGGACAGCCAGGGCTACACAGAGAGATCCTGTCTTATAAAATGAAACAAAAAATTATATATATATATATGTGTGTGTGTGTGTGTGTGTGTGTGTGTGTGTGTGTGTGTGTTTGTGCGCGCGCCCACAAAACTGTATGTCAAGGACTGGAGCTATAGCTCAACTGATAGTGTGCTTGAAGCATGATAGGCCTGCAGCATGAAGCTCGGGGTCTGATCCCCAACCCTGCATAAATTGGAACTGGTGGTGCATGCCTACAATCTTAACACTTGGGAGATGGAGGAAGGAGGATCAGAAATTCACATCCCTTGTCACCCTTCAAGGCCTAGTCATTCTGTCTCTGGTATGTGTCAGTTCCAAAGCAAACTCCATTTCCCACATCACTGGCAGAGGAAGCGAAGGGTTATTTGGGGTGCCTCTTAGCAGACCAAAGTGCATGCTGGTCTCCAGGGTTCCCCAGTATCACAAGTACTGTCACACAATTCAGAGTCTACGTTGGCACCCTGGTCTCTTCACCTCCTCTCCTACCCTATACTTCTCTAGTTCATGTTCTTCCGCTCATTCTCCTTATGACCCTGCTATTTCGGCTGGACTCCCTCTTTTGTCCACCTTCTCTTCCTTTTGTCCTTCTCTCTCCGTTCCCCCTCCTCCCCCATCTCTGCTCTCCGGCCTTCTCCTTCTCTCTTGCGCCCCCTACCCCCACAGCTCTGCTCCTGCTTCTCTCACGACCTGGTCCAGTCTGCTGGCCATGCTCAATCTACGACTTTCTCTCTGTGCAACCTGATGTGGGACTGGAAACCAAGCCCAGCCCTCTGTGTGAGGTCCCAGGTGACCTCGGGCTGGACTACAGGAGCCTTTCTGGAGGTTAGATCAAAGCCAGCCCTCCTCAGGAACTTGGGAAACTACTCCCACCCACTCTAGAGAGCGGCTATAGAGCCCAAGAAGAGACGGCCTTTTCAGCCTCTGCTCTGCAGGGGTCTTTTCCCCTGTGTGTCTGTTGCACGTGCTCCCTCGCCCCGATTAAGCCGGTTTCTTTTTTTTTTTTTAATTTTATTTTCCAGTTTAAATTTAGATAAGAAACGAGGTTGCTTCACAAGTCAGTACGAGGTCCCTCTCCCTTTCCCTCCCTTCCTCCCGTGCCCTCCCCCCCCCCCCCGTTATCCCCTCATTTCTCCAGGGAGGTTGAGGCCCTCCATGGGGGTGTCCATAGTGTGTCATTTCATATAGGGCAGGGCCTAGACCCTTCCCCAAGAGTTCAGGGTGAGAGTGCACCTCACATTGTTCTATTGGAGTCCAAAGTCCGTGTGTATACTTGGGATGGGTACTGATCTGCTGCCCAAGGCTCAGTAGATTCCCTAGGCCTCCTCACTGACACCCAGATTCAGGGGGTCTTGATCAGTCCCATGCTGGCTTCCCAGGCTAATGCCTGGGATTCAAGAGTTAACCTTTGTCTGGTCAGCTGTTTCTGGGGGTTAAACCAGCCCAGTCTTAATCCCTTTGATCATCAGTCCTCCCTCTCTGTTACTGGCTTTCTTGAGTTCAGCTCAGTACTTAACCAAGGGGGTCTGCCTCTTCTTCGATCAGCCACTAAATAAAGTTTCTGTTTCCCAGACTCTCTGGCCATAGGATTGTAGGCTGGCACTCCCCAGATCTATGTCTAAAATCCATATATGAGAGAGTACATGCCATGTTTCTCTTTTTGTGACTGGGTTACCTCACTCAGGATGGTTCCTTCTAGTGTCATCCATTTGCCTGCGAATCTCATGATTCCATTATTTTTTTCTGCTGAATAGTACTCCATTGTGTAGATGTACCACATTTTCTCTATCCACTCTTCAGGTGAGGGACATCTAGGTTGCTTCCACGTTCTGGCAATTACAAATAAAGCTGCTATGAACATAGTGGAACAGACATCTTTGTTGTATGAATGGGCATCTTTTGGATATATGCCTAAGAGTGGAGTTGCTGGGTCTTGTGGTAGGTTTATTCCCATTTTTCTGAGGAATCTCCACACTGATTTCCAAAGTGGCTGAACCAGTTGGCACTCCCACCAGCAATGGAGGAGTGTCCCCCTTTCACCACATCCTCTCCAGCATAAATTGTCATTGGTGTTTTTGATTTTAGCCATTCTGACAGGGGTGAGATGGTATCTGAGAGTTGTTTTGATTTGCATTTCCCGGATGGCTAAGGATGTTGAGCACTTTCTCAAGTGCCTCTCAGCCATTTTAGACTCCTCTATTGAAAACTCTCTATTTAGTTCTGCAGCCCACTTTTTAATAGGGTCCTTTGGTGTTTTGGAGACTTGCTTCTTGAGTTCTTTGTAAATTTTGGAGATCAACCCTCTGTCAGATGTGGGATTAGTGAATATTTTTTCCCATTCTGTGGGCTGCCTTTTTGTCTTGCTGACTGTGTCCTTTGCCTAAGCCGGTTTCTTAACTGCTGATTATGTCTACGGTGCGTGGGATTTCTCTGCTGCCTCCTGTTGTGCCTCGGGGTCTCCCTGCCCTTTAGTTGGCAGAGAAAATGAAACCCACCAAGCCCCCAGACTGCACCATTTCAAGACTGTATATATATATATATATATATATATATATATATATATAGGCCTTCTGACATCCCATTGGCCAAAAGCACATGAAAAGCTGTGTGAAATTATTAGTGCAAATTAAAAATCTGAGGAAAAGCTGTAGTACCCCTCCATAGTGGAACTGGGGGGGGGCACTCCTGACAGGAGTGTGTGAGTGTGCAGGAGTGTGACAGACTACTTTGGAAACATTTTACTGTGACAAATGAAGTTAAACATTCTGCTCTGTGACTCCACAAAGGTCAAAGGCCTTCAGTGCACCCCCGCCCCCAGATGCCCCCCCCCCAGTCTGCACAGCCCTCATTACGTCATCTACTCATCTACTCAGTCCCCAGGCTCGCTGGGTCTTCCGTCATCTTCACCACGATAGCCTGTGTGGATTTAGTTGGTTCTGTAATTCCACTGCCTTGTTCTAACTGACATCAAAAATGAAATTGAGGGAGCTGAGGAGATGAATCAGTAGTTAAGAGCACTGACTACTCTTTTAGAGGACCAGAGTTCAGTTCCCAGCAGCCCCATTGGTCAGCTCACAACCACTTATAATTCCAGCTCCTGGGGATTTGATACCCTATTCTCCTCCTTCTCCCTCTCCTTCTTCCTCTCCCTCTCCCTCTCCCCCTCTCCTTCCTCTCCCTCTCCTCCCTCCCTCCCTCCCTCTCTCTCTCTCTCTCTGTCTCTCTCTCTGTCTCTCTCTCTCTCTCTCTGTCTCTCTCTCTCTCACACACACACACACACACACACACACACACACACACACACACACACGCTAATTATATATAGATGCTCTTTGTGCACTTTTAGCTTCCAGCAGCAGGGGGCGCTCAGTACTTAAAAATACATCCATGCCTTCTATCTGCATGGCCAGGTAAAATAAGCATTGCTCTATTCTTTGGTTCACAGAGTATACGCCTATAAATGACATATTCTATGTCCTGGCCCATGTAGAAGTTCCTCTGATGTTTTCTTGGTGGCTAAGTGGCTCTGAGATGAGTGTCTCCACCACTGAGCCCCTGAGGAAAACGACCTACCCTGCCATTGTTTGTATCTCTGGTCTGTGTTAGAAATTTAATCCCCACTGCAACAATGCTGAGGGTGGAACCTTTAGGAATCACTGGGTGGCTGGTGGTGGTCTGATACATTAGTTTTCTATTAATCTATAATCAACTATGAAACACACTGTCTCACGACAACTAAAAGAACTCCAAGCCTCGCCCTTCTCTCTCATTCCCTCTGCCTTGATAAAAACCTTAAAATTGCATCCTTAAAGCTAGCCCCAAGGTCTATTCCCTTATTTGTCTACTTCCTACTCGGAAGCTGTCTACCACAGCCCAGTAATCAAAGGCCCCCTTTGGTTCACCTAATTAACATGCCTCATCAAAATATACCACCTCATCCTAGCTATCCTAACACAGACCTCCCCTTGTTTTCTCTTAAAAAATTACACCTGCAGAGGTGGTGACACACACCTTTAATCCTAGCACTCTGGAGGCAGAGGCATGTGGCTGTCTGTGAGTTCGAGGCCAACCTGGTCCTACAGAATAAGTTTCAGGATAGTCAAGGCTGTTACAAAGAGAAACCCAGTCTCAGAAAAAAACAAAATCTCACCTGCAAGGTCATTTGCTGCTGTTTCTCTGCCTGAGTCAGAAAGAAGCCACTTTAACTTTTCTTCCCCGATTTAATAAAGGATCTCTCTGTGAAGACAGTTGTTTGGGTGATTTGTGCCTAATCCAAGGTCTGGGAGGGAATCCCTGATGAGTGAGTGTGCACATGTGTGCTCGTGTGTGTGTGTGTGTGTGTGTGTGTGTGTGTGTGTGTGTGTGTGTGTATGCGCGCGCGCATGTGCGGGGTGGATGGGGGTCTCTCCTATCACAGTGAAGAGTCCAAGAATAAGAGTATAAAAATGTAGGTCCTGCCGGGCGTTGTTGGTGCATGCCTTTAATCCCCGCACTCGGGAGGCAGAGGCAGGCGGATCTCTGTGAGTTCAAGACCAGCCCGGTCCACAAGAGCTAGTTCCAGGACAGCCTCTAAAGCCACAGAGAAACCCTGTGTTGAAAAACAAAACAAAACAAAAAATTGTAGGTCCCAAAAATAGGAATGTAGAAATATAGGAGTATGAAGTTGTAAGCCTAGGAGAATGAGAGCAGACTGTCAACCACCTTCTCAGCGACTTACTATTAACAATATGTGCCCTTGCTAAGACCTATAGCTCTGTCAGCCTCGCAGAGCTGAAATGACTCTCTGCAAACTGAGGGTCCCTCTGCAAACTGAAGGTCAGTGTTTTAGATAACAACCCCCCCCCCACACACAGCAAATTGATGTGAGCTGAGTTAACTTTTTTTTTTCTTTTTTTGAGACAAGGTTTCTCTGTGGCTTTGGAGGCTGTCCCAGAACTAGCTCTTGTAGACCAGGCTGGTCTCGAACTCACAGAGATCCGCCTGCCTCTGCCTCCTGAGTGCTGGGATTAAAGGCATGCACCACCACCGCCTGGCCGAGTTAACTTTTAAGTAAGGAGCTGTAAGTGACTTTTGGTTATGGATTGTTCCATACTCTTCCCAGCTATGCAAAACTGGCAGTATCAGTGGGGGGGCAGTTTCTGTAAACACCATCAGAAAGAGCCAGAGAGAAACAATGGACAATAGACTAAACACAAACACCAGTTTAATATAAAAACCCTACTAAAGAAAATTGTAAAAAGCAATTTGTAACTGAGTTTTACCTGGAAACTACAAAAATTCTTTTGTTCATGACTAATGTTTGTTTCTTATTACAAAAAAGGAGAGCTCAAAAACTGCCCGGTTTGCCAGTTTCAGAAGTCCAAACTCTGGCTGTGGTCACGACTATAACTGAAAGCCTTTATACCCTGTGCGGATATTTTTCATTTCTTTTCCTGGAATAAAGCTTGCTTTGTTTTAATAGAACTTGATGGTCTGTCTCCCATCATTTCGTGACCCCGGACCCCACAACAGCAGCTTGGGTCTCAAAGGGAATCCTGTACAGAGTCAATATACTATGACTTTTTAATTTGAGGGGGTTAGGGTAAAAGACACACATTCTCTTGATGGTTTCCTTCAGACCTTTTCTTTCTTCTTTTTTTTATTCTGATTATGTATTCTATATTCTTTTTTGTTTTAACATTTATTTTTGTGTGTATGTCTGTGCAACATGTTCACGCAGTACGCACAGAAGAGGTCGCAGGGACTGGAATTGTAGACGGTTGTGAGCCACCATGTGGATGCTGGGAATTGAACTCAGGTTCTTCAGAAGAGTGGCAGTCAGTGCTCATAACCGCTGAGCCATCTCTCCAGCCCCCTATGTTCTCTTCTCTTATCTGTATCTAGACACATCTTTTCTGTCTCTTGATGTTTTCCTTCTCCTTCTAATGTCATGATGTTCTCCTCCTAATTCTCATTCTTGATGTTCTCCTTCTAACTCATTTTAACTCTATCTTTATTCTTTCCCTTACAGGTTATATACCCCAGCAAAATCTTCCCTTACAGGTTATATACCCCAGCAAAATCTTTCAGGCAATACAAAAATTACAATGCGGTGACATCCTGTTTTTCAAGTGAATGATCACAGTGAATACAAGAGAACCCAGCATGCTTTCCACACCCTTCACCGACGGGAAACACCACCACCGTCCACAGTTTCTGTGTGTCAGGAGGATGCCGTCCACAGGCAAATTTTTGGTCATCTCCAACTACTCAGTCTTTCAGATATGAAGAATATATTCATCAGCCAGGCATGGTGGCGCAGGCCTTTAGTTCCAGAACTCGGGAGGTAGAGGCAGGTGGATCTATGAAGAGTTTGAGGCCAGCCTGGTCTACAAAGTGAGTTCCAGGATAGCCAGGCCTACACAGAGAAACCCTGCCTCAAGAAATCAAGCAATAAAACAAAAGTTTGTCACCTCCCAGCATCTAAGCCCAGGCAAGGCAGTGCTGAGCTTCCTCCACCTTCTTGCTGAGGTCCTTCCAGGTTTAACTAGAATTTGATCTTCTTAATGGAAAATTGCTAAACTCTATTCTAGGAAACAGACGTCAAGATGCCCCAGATAACCTATCTTTTGGGGAGCTTTTTTTTTTTTTTGAAATAGGGTTTCTTAGTATACCTTTGGAGCCTGTCCTGGAACTCACTCTGTAGACCAGGCTGGCCTCAAACTCACAGAGATCCGACTGCCTCCGCCTCCGCCTCCGCCTCCGCCTCCGCCTCCGCCTCTGCCTCTCAAGTGCTGGGACTAAAGGTGTGTGATACCACTGCCTGGCCCAGCTAACTTAACTTCTATTAAACTGCCAGTTTTGTGCAGAAGCCCCTCCAGTTAACTGCTTATCTTAGTGTCCATCAAACTGCTTGCTTCTGTGAAGCCCCCTCCACTCCCCCATGCCCCAGCTGTTGACCCAGATGCCAAGACTCAGTTTTTGCCTTCAAAACGGCATGATCTGACACTCAGGGCTATACTACTCCGTGGGCAAAAATAAAGACTTTCACTTGGCTGTAAGCTGGTCTGAGATATTATTTCTGGTGGGCCTCCCATAACACCAGCATCACTTCAAGGTGCAGAAGCTCACACTATAAATAACATTCAGGTTCCTCAGAACAGTTACTTGATATGAAAATGGGTGATCCAAAAAGATATGGGTTATCTGGGCTGGGGATGGCTTGGTGGATAAAGTGTTGATGAACAAGCTGTTGTGCCAGGTTTGCAGAATCTCAGAGACTAACCCAAGGAGTCGACACTTCTGATGCAAAAGCAAAAGGTTTCTTTTTAATTGTTCAAGCTGGCCAGCTTGGATCTCACCCCATGGTGGGGAAATGAGATGCCAACCAGCCAAAAAGAGAAGCTTTTAAAGGGAAAACGGGGAGGGGAAGTCCTGAGATAGCAAGTCTCAGTTCGCAAGGTTCCCATGGTTACAGAGATTACTTAGTACACAACGTTTCCATACAAGGGTATCATGAAACGAAGGGCCTTGAAGAAGGCAGTAACTGTCACCTGGTTAGGTAAAATTAATTGGCACATTTTTGGGCTAGGGGCTCAAGACGGGAGCACATCCTGCGATCCAGAAGTTTTACAGTAGGGCAAGAGGCTATCTGGTTCCAAGACTTCTCAAAGCAAGGGGGTAGATGTTGACACAGCTGCTTGTGGGTTCATGGGTTCAAGCTTCCCTTTCTTTCTGGGAGCCGTCTGTGGTCTCTGGTCACGTCCCCTATGGTCAGAGGTCCCTTGTTTAGCTAGGATCTTTTCTTATTTTTTCCCACCACAAAGCATGAGGCTTAAAAATCAAGATGCTAGGACCCACATAAAAAGCTGGGTGTGGTGGTGCATTCCTGTGCTTAGAGTGGGGAGGCAGAGACAGGAGGAGCCTTGTGAGCTCACTGACCAGACAGTCTGGACAAATCAGCATGTTCCAGGCTCAGGGAGAAACCTTGTCTCTAAAAAACAAGGTGGAGAGATTAATTGAGGAGGATAATGTCTCCCTCTGACCTCTACACGCGTGCACACACTTGAGTGCACACCTTTTATGCACACTCACAGGAACACACACAGAGAAAGTTAAGAAAAAGTGGGTTATCTGCCCTGCCCTGGCATACAGAGGCGGAACAAGCTACTGCTCACTGGTCTAGATCTTCCTATCTTCCTATCCCAACACAGGACGTAGGTGTATGTGTGTGTGGGGGGGGGACAACACACGGGAAACCTTGCTTCAAAGCCATGAGTTGTGAGTCCAGCAGGATGCATACTGCTAGTGTCCTGATTGAAGTTTTTTGTTAAACTATCTTCTAAGTTGTTACTTTCTGTCAAAAACAGCCTAGCTTTACTACTGGGTTGTTTCCATATTGTATATATGTATGTATATTTCATATGTAAGTCATCAGTATTCATATTGCCTAGGGATTCGTGGAAATCCTAAGACTTATTTCCCTTTTAAATATTGTTTTTTTATTTTTAAAATTGTGTGTATGTGTATATGTTTGTATGTGTACTTGCCCACACAGGCCTTGAAACTGGAGTTACAGATGGTTGTGAACCAACTGATATGGATGCTAGGAATTGAACTCTGGTCTTCTGCAAGATAAGAACATGATACTAACCATTGGCTGTCTCTCCAGGACCTCTCCTCCCCAAAGATTTCATTTCATGGCATCCTAATTCATCTGAGCTATGAAGACAGGCAGGAAAAAGGAAGGAGACATAAGAAGGGAAAGACATTTCTCATGCAAGAATATAGCAGAGAGAAAACGGCAGGACTGATAAAATCAAAATCGCCTACAGAGACAGTGTTTAATTTTCCTGCAGACATCTCAGGCACGGATGTTGAGATCATCAAACTGTGTTTACGAAGGGCCCAGTGTGAGCTGAATGTGTGTGACCTTAGAACTCAACTTATCAGCACTCATCCACTCATCCCTAGACACCCCACAGCCTCATTTACAAAGGAAATCTATTAAGATAAGAGACACCAGCTTGTACTTTTGTACTTCATTTCTAAGCTTTGCTTAATCTTTAAAACTTGTTGCAAATTACTTTAGGAGCAATGTAACTTTTAAAAACACAGAAGTATGTGTGTGTGTGTGTGTGTGTGTGTGTACTGATTATGAAGACACACATGGTCTCTCTTTCTCTCTCTCTCTCTCTCTCTCTCTCTCTCTCTCTCTCTCTCTCTCTCTCTCTCTCTCTCTCTCTCCTCCTTCCTTCCCTCCCCTGCCAGACCTGAAGTGATTAATCAACTCTGTACTCTTTCACTATATCTTGTATTAAAATTCTCTTTTTCTACTGAGATAGGACCTCAGACATCCCAGGTGAGATAACTGGTATACCTCACTTTACACTGGTATACCCTGGCTTTAAGTGCTGCTGGGGATTGAACCCTAGGCTTCATGCATACCAGGGGAACGCTCTACAAACTGAGTGTTAGTCCCTAAAATTCTTTTCTTTTCTGGAGGGTCCCAGGGTGGGAATCCCTCAGGCAGTTACAGCCATTGCTTAGGTGGGTCTTCCCACTAGAGCTGATTGAATCAGCTGGCTTCTACAGCCAGAGCCAGGACACTTTACCAACAAGTCAGCACTGAGAACAAATATGTCCATAAAATTGGCCTTCTGTTGCACTTGGCCTATTATCCCTCAGCAAAAAACAATCCCCGGGACCAACAAGGAAGCCACAATGTCTTTTATGGCCATCGTGGGGATGAGAAAGCAATGCTTCTCCTGCAACCTACTGATTTCACAGTGCAGCAAGAGAGTTCTCCAGGGATTGAGCATCAGGAGGTGAAGATTATCAGGCACCACTCCAAGGACACAGTACCACAATCAAGAGAAAATAACATTAGTAACTTGCTAGGATACTCTGGGTAGGTGAGACATATGACGACGATACAAAGCCTATGTCACCAGATTTAGGACAAAGGCTACTGGCTGTCCTAACCCGACTAGGTTCTGTCACGCATGCCAATATGACAAAGGGATAAGTAGCGGTGAAAGTCAGGGAGTGGAAACTTCATCGGTGTGGGCACTTTGGGAAGAGGAAAAGAGGCCCTGTGACTACCCACTTCCAGGGTTTTTGTTTGTTTGTTTGTTTGTTTTCAGACAGGGTTTTCTGTGTAGCCCTGGCTGTCCTGGAACTTACTCTGTAAACCAGGCTGGCCTCAAATTCACAGAGATTCACCTGCCCCTGCCTCCTGAGTGCTGGGATTAATGGTGTGCACCACCACCACTTGGCCCAAGTTCATTTTTTTGAGGTACTCAAAAAAAAAACTCAAGTTTAGAGGGGAAAGAGGAGCCTGGGATGAGAAGTTTGCACAATTATTCATTCTTGGTTAAGGATCAGCCCTTATCTCAGTTGTAGAATAGTTTCTACTGTCATTGCTGGAAGGGAGTCATTCAGTTTCTATAGCCTGGCTACTCTTGGCCCAGAGGGCAACCGCACCAGCAGAGATAATTGCGTCTGCCCCACGAGGCTTGCAGATGCTGGGTAATATCTTCAGTCCATCCTCATTCCAAGGTGACTGGAGGAATGACTCAGCAGGAAGGGTTTAAAGAGGAAAAGGAGCCAAAGTACAGAGTGGAGTCAGTTAAACCAGAGACTAGTCCAGCGGCTCTCAGTCTGAGGGTTGAGACCTCTTTGGGACCAAAATACCCCTTCACAGAGGTCTCCTAAGACCATCGGAAAACACAGATACTTACATTATGATTCATACAGTAACAAAATTATAGTCATGATTATAGTTGGGCATGGTGGCACACACCTTTAATCCCAGCACTGGAGAGGCAGAGGCAGGCGGATCTCTGTGAGTTCGAGGCAGGGCTGGTCAGACAGCCTCCAAAACAATATAGAGAAACCCTGTCTCGTAAAACAAACAAAAAAAGATCTTTTAGGGATTTCTTGTAGAATATGATTTTAAGGTGTGTTACTTTTGCTTATGCTCTGGAACACTTATTAAATGATGCAAAGGTGTGTTTGATTAAATAAAATTCACCTGCTGTCAGGAGGCTGGCTCAGCAACTAGCTGTAGGTAGGAGCCAGGCGGAGAAGGGTTTCTAAGGGGGTGGGAAGAAACTTCTTGGGAGATGCAGAGGCCAAGTAGGTGAGCTGCTTGCTATGCAGCCCCTCTGAGAAGCAGGATTCTACCTCAACCTTTGAATCATGAGTTCTTTAGCGGGACAGAGATTTAAATAAGTTTCCTTCATAGCCCTGAAAGAGTCATGCCTGAGAGAACAGAATTCCCCCAGGCTTCGGCTCTTGCAGCCTAGCCGCTGCTGGTAGTTGCTGAGTAGGGTAGCCGTAGCATAGAAGGCCAAAAAATAAAAACAATAGGGATTTGGATAAAGGATTTAACAAAAACAGGAGCAGTTAGTTGTTCGGGAGCAGGAATACAATAAGGATGTGTGAGCTCCTGACCTGAATGACTGAAGAGAAGGTAAGGACCCTGGGTGTTTGTTACCATAGCGCATCCTTACAGGGTGTGTTGAATCTGCTTACACCGGCTGTTTTAAGTTTCATGTTGATTCAGGTCTCAACGATAACCCGAGTCTGGAGCTGAGAGTCTTTCGCTGAGTACACGGCTTTGCCAGTTATTTTCTGCTTCCTGTTTTGAGTTTGTATTTCCTCAGTAGTGACCTGACTTTTAAACAAATGCTTGTTTTAGAGAAAGAAGAAGAAAAGAGGAAGTCAGTCCTCGTGTTAACTATTTTTATTTTTGAGCTAACGCTAGCAATCTTGTGTGCATTTTGCTGAATGCCACCAGCCAGTCTTACTACTTGCACAATTCGAACCCCTCAGGGAAAGTGGAGGTTCCAGTACACCAACAGAACGCAATGAGGGACTTCACCAGCCCTCTTCCAGCTCATTAAGGAGCTGGAAATGGATGAACAAGAAAGATAATGTTGGTAGTAGTTCTAAAATATAAATTTGAAAAAAAAAGGCAATTTTGGAGAAGGAAGCATAAGAAAAGAAGGCCTCGCCAGGCAGTGGTGGCACATGCCTTTGACCCCAGCACTTGGGTTACTCATGACCAAAGGTATTCCAGCTGTAAAATTATATAACCAAAAGTCAGAAAGGGAATTCAGGACTGGGGGTGTGGCTCAGTAGTTGTGCTTTTCAGAGCAGTACCACTCAAGACTAACCGTGGAGGGGCACGCCTTTTATCCCAGGACTCGGGAGGTAGAGGCAGGGAGATCATAACTTTACACAGTGGGTTTGAGGCCTGTTTAGGCTACATGAGAACTGTCATGGGTTCTCTCCATTGACTTAGAATGGCCCTTGAGGTCCACTCCAAGTGCTCATGGTGTTTTGCGGAACTGGGTGACAGAACCTCACTGTGAACTAAGCAGTGATTTCTGAGCCAGACATGATTTCCGGAAGCAGAACAATCTGTCCAGAAAAACAGCGAAGCAACCCCATCTTCCTGAAAAGCCTGGAGAAAGTGTTCTCAAAGACGACCCTCTAGGGGGGACACCATCTTCAAACCTTTTAGCCGGAGCTCCTGGGAACCTCAATGAATGGGCTGATGGAAGGGAGACGGCTTGTGAACGCTGAAGCAGATCAGATCTATTATTCATATCTCAGACCAGTTATTCCTTCTTAGAAAATCACGAGAGACAGCACAAGAGTAAATGCTGTCATTGTCGTGTTACTGTGTTCTACACAATTTCAGAGGTGATCTCATTTAATCCAACAGAGGAAGGAATCATCATTAGCCCCATTGCTCAGCCAGGGAAGCTAAGGGACAGGAAGATAATTAACACTTTCAAGATTGCCAAAAATAGCCGGGCATCCGTGGTTCATGTTTAATGCCAGCACTAGGAAGGCAGAGGCAGGTGGATCTCTATGAGTTCCAGGCCAGCTTGGTCTACAGAGCTAGTTCCAGGACAGCCTCCAAAGCCACAGAGAAACCCTGTCTCGAAAAACAAAACAAAACAAAAAATGGCCAAAAATATGCAGGATGTAAACTCCTATGCCTGGAAGATTGTGCTGTTAACCCTAACCTCCCTAATGGGTCTGTTCCCGGTGTAAAATGAAGTTGGGTTACAGGCTTGATGCCAAACACATGATAAAATGCAAAGAGATGCCAAGGAGATATGGCAGTTGGCAAAGCATTTGCTGTACAAGCACACTGACCGGGAGTTCAATCCCCAGTGCCCATGTATACATGTGAATATGTATATAGATTCATGTTTGCATACAAGAAGAAAAACAAAGGGATCAGTCTCCATGGTGTAGGTAAGGAACTGTGACTGAGCTTGAACCTGGGGGCTTCTGAGAAGCTGATGGTATTTTGGTTTCTGAGCCAGGTAGTGAGTAGATGGGGTGACCATGCTTGGTTATTCAGCTATATGTGTATGGTTTACATAGTTTTTGAAACCGGTCTCCATAAATAGTACAGGGTTAGCTTGAACTCAGAATCTTCCCACCTCAGCTAGGAATAGAGGCATACATCACCATGCTCTATTTTATTGTTCATGTGTAAATTACTGAGATCCACCTGTCTCTCCCTCCTGAGTGCTGGGATTACAGGTGTGCGCCACCACCGCCCGGCTCACAGCTCTCATCTTAAAGACGATGAGAGACAAGTCTATTCTGGAGTCATTTCCAATGACCATGGCTTGGGAACATAGTTGAAGTTACCACAAATTCCATGTGCCAACGAGGAAGCAGTGTCACAGGCTTTTTAAAAATAGTTTTATAGAACAAAGTTATAAGACAGGTTTAAAACACATTGGTGAGTTCACCAGAGAGGCTCGTGCAATGAGACAAGGAGAGCTATTCTACAGGCCTAAGGTACCATCTGATGTACTCTTGGCTCTTGAATTGGGAGAAGCTAGTGTCCCGCTAAGATAATAGTGCCTAAGAGGTTTTTATTTACTCTCATGAGGCATTAGTTCAGAAACAGAGTGGAGCCAGGCATGGCTGTTCCAGAGGCTAAAACAACCCCGAGATGAAGTAATTAGCTTCTGAACCTGTAAAAGTCTAACCTCACCACAGTACTGAACTCCAGCTGGCCCATCAGTCTCGCAGCCAGAAACTCCTTCCAGGAGGTTTTTTGTTCACAGACAGACACAGCTTCTTTTTAGGAATTATCCTTCCCACAACAAATATATTTTACACATTCTTCTGTGCTCTTTTTTATATCCTATAGCATACACTAATAAGCAAACAGAATGAGGAACCAACCTGACTCCATTTTAAGGGAAGGAGCCATTGTGCTATTTACTGTGAGGGTTGAGTAGCTCTGTTTCCTGGAACCTGACATTCCCAAACCCATGATCTTGCTTGATTTGTTTTTGAGAATACCCTGGCCCCTCCTCAACTCTCCCTAACCCTTCCTAATTACATGGTGGGGGATCACATGATTTTTAAAAAAGGTTTATTTTCTTTATTGCCCCGCTGTCTACATTCTGTAAATTTACTCCTGATTTTACTTCATAAAACAGATGCAGGAGGTGGATTTGGGGTTGTTCTCCTGAACCCAATTTAGGAGGCAGTTGCTGGCCAGCTCTTGGGTTCACCCCAATAAATATCAAGCTTGTTTCAAATTTGGCTCAAATTGTGGTAGGGGTTTTATTCTCTCTGTTGGGATCAACAAAACCTTGGGGATTTGATTTTAAGAGCCTCCATTTAGGAAAAAGTCCAAGGGTGGGCCTTAGGCAGGAGGAATTTGGTACAAGTGAATTTCAGTTAAGAGGTGCATTTGGCTGGGTGGGAGCCAGCAGCTAGGGAGTGGTAGCAGAGGAAGCTGGGAAGGCGGGCCACAGACACCTCAGAGGCCACAGGCCATGACTTGGGCGGATAAGTAATCTGAATATTGAAAACTGTGATTCTATTGCTGAAGAGATGGCTCCTCAGATAAAGGCAGCTGCTGTCAAGCCTGATGGCTGACTCACATTGTAGGAAGAGAGATCCAAGCCCTGTACCCCAAACTTCGCATGCCTGCTATAGCAATTAATAACATACAAATAAATAAGTGTAGTTAAAACTTTAAAAAATGTGGCTCTAGCCAGGTGACACACACACACACATCTTTAATGCCAGCACTTGGGAAGCAGAGGCAGGTGGATCTTTGTGAGTTTGAGGCCAGCCTGGTCTACAGAGAGAGCGTTCAGGACAGGCTCCAAAGCTACAGAGAAATCCTGTCTCGAAAAACCAAAAGCAAACACTCTGGCTGCTGTGTGGAATTTGAAGATGACAGTGCAGTATTCTCAGGATGGAAGTGGGGAATGAATGATGAAGAAACAGGACAATTACTAAGCGTCTCAGAGGAGTTAATTTTTGTTTCCATCACATAGGCAAGAGTGTCTAATAGGCAAGCAGTGGGATCAGGAGTCAAACCCAGAGCAGTCTAAAATAGAGACCCAAATTTACTTGATCAGATGATAAGATAGATTCATTCATTCTCTTTCATTGACTTTTAAGATTTTTTTTTCTTTTTGAGACAAGATTCCTTGGTAGTCCTGGCTGTCCTGGAACTCACTCTGTAGATCAGGCAGGCCACTAGGTACGCTTTGACTTTTAAGGGAAGTCTATTCATTTACCTGCAAAATGGACTTAGAGTCCACACGTGGCTACTGCTTTTCTTTGGTCACAGTTGAGCATCTTCCCCGGAAGATCTGGGAAAGAGCCACCTCTCAATTCCCGTTGTGTTGGTGACTGAATTCCTTCATTTCCCCAAGTTTGTAGGGCTGATGTCCCCATTTCCAAGGTGTACCAGGGGATGCTTTTAGCTCTTCTCACCGGTCTGCACTGCATATGCCTGGTGGTCCCTCACCAAGGCAACAGCAAACCTTTTTACTACCACTAAAAATTCTCCACCTTTAAAGAGTGTACTGCCCTGCTGGTCTCTCTTTGCCTTTGGACACAATGGCAGGGGCCTGGTTCACTGTATTCAGAGGTCTCAATGGTAAGGACCTAATGGTGAGAGCACCCAAAATACAGCCTACCACTGAGTTAAGTGCATATAGCAAACTACCTGCCTTTATCATTCCATGTAAGCCTTTTGGCAAAGACTCTACCACTGAATTGCATCCCCTGTCTTGTAACACAATTTATTTAGTGTTTTTTGAGACAAGGTCTCATCTAGGCTAGGCTGGCCTTTAAATTATTGATCTCCTGTCCCCATCTCCCAAGTGCCCAGATTATGGGCATAGGAAGCCATGCCTGTTTGGTTAACCCAATTAATATATCTTTTATTAAGCACCTACTATGTGATAATAGTTACTATTTCAGGTTTAGAAAATAGTTGAGTGCTAGCCATCAAGCTACCAGTTAGAAACTAAAAAATTAGTTGTTCTCTCTCTCTCTCTCTCTCTCTCTCTCTCTCTCTCTCTCTCTCTCTCTCTCTCTCTTCCCCTTCCCCCTCTCCCTCCCTTCTCCCCTTGTGCTGGGGAATCAGACTCAGGGCTTCATACATTCAAGGTAGCATTT